GGGCCGTGCTGGGGCGGTCTTCGGGGCCGCTTCGGCCATCTGAAAGCTGTGCCGACCCAGAAAACGAGTATGCCAAACATGCACGATTTCCCGAAGGAGCGAGCCAATGTTTGCGTTTTGGGGGTCCTCGTGGGAGCTTCTTGGGGGCGCCCGGTGCTACCCTGGACCCGTCTGCGGGACGTGCCGCCGCGACCCTCGGCAATCTTGAACGGTCCGCTGCGCGATCGGGGCACCGCAGCGGCCCCGCCGGCCGCCCAAAGCGGCATAGAGCGGCCCGGGGTCCCGGGGGCCTGCCTGGAGCGGCTTGAGGGGGGGGCCAATCCGCTGCCACCGATTCCAGGATCCACGAGCGGTGGTCTGGGCGTTGTAGGAGAGATGACGTTGGGCTCCAGCTTCGCCTCCCGCATCTCGCTCAGCAGCGCAAGCGCCCGCTGCCACTGCCCGCCCTTCTCGCACGCGCTGATCCCAGCGCTGTAGCTGACTAGGGTGTGCCCGTGGACTACGTCCACTTGCGAAGCGATGGGGCGCTGCCGTTAGGCGATCACGATGGATGGCGTCAGGTTCGCCTTCCACATGTCGCCGAGCAGCTTGAGCGCCGCCTGATTGGGGAGCCTGGGACGAACGCGCCTCCAGGGCTATCTGACGAACGCGCCTCCAGGGCTATCCTCTTGGGGGCTGGTGCGGCGCCCCCGCCTGGCCACCCCTGGAGGCGGAGGTGGGGGGAGGAGGAGGAGGAGGAGGAGGAGGAGGAGGAGGAGGAGGAGGAGGAGCGGAGGAGGAGGAGGAGGAGGAGGAGGAGGAGGAGGAGGAGGAGAGGATGAGGAGAAGGAGGGGGGGGAGGGGGAGGAGGAGGAGGAGGAGGAGGAGGAGGAGGAGAGGAGGAGGACGAGGGGAGGAGGAGGAGGAGGAGGAGGAGGAGGAGGAGGAGGAGGAGGAGGAGGAGGAGGAGGAGGAGGAGGAGGAGGAGGAGGAGGAGGAGGAGGGGGGGGGAGGAGGAGGAGGAGGAGGAGGAGGAGGAGGAGGAGGAGGAGGAGGAGGAGGAGGAGGAGGAGGAGGAAGGAGGAGGAGGAGGAGGAGGAGGAGGAGGAGGAGGAGGAGCAGGAGGAGGAGGAGGAGGCTCGATCGGGCCATGTGCAGAACGCCTTTGGCACGGAGGCGCGATGAAGCAGCTGGGGGAGAAGAACACGGACGTCTTCCCATCCACCTCATTATCCTTCTGTTGCTCCTGTTCCTGCTCCTCCTCCGTTTCCGTCTCCTCCTCCTCCTCCATTTATTCCTCCTCCTCCTGCTCCTCGTCCTCCTCCTCCTCCTGCTCCTCCTCCTCCTCCTCTTTCTCCTCCTCCTCCTGACTCCCTCATCCTTCTCAGTGCCCTCCTGATCATCCTCGTCCCCCTCATCCTGTCCCTCATCTTCCTCTTCATTCTCCTCTCCTTCGGGTTCTCCCGCCTGTCCCTCTGCAGCGTTGGAACGCAGCGCGACAACACCCTTCGGCAAGGCATTAAAAAATGCGGTTGCGTCGAAGGCGTCGGCAGGGCCCAGTCTCGCGGAGTCTTCCTAGGCCTCTCTCGGGGCTCTCTTCGAAGTTCCTGAGATCTTCTTGGGCTCCTTTGGGAAGCTCCTCGCGGCTTCAAGGCCGTCTCGGTAAGGGCCTCGAGGGCGCCAGGACGGAACAAACTTATCCCGGCAAAGCAACCTAACAGCGATGTGTAGGAGCATATCTGGAAGCATTCCCCTTAGGATTCAGATGAGAATCCAGTTGTAGAATTCTGCTGTTCTCGCAATCGTAGTCGCATTCGCGATGACAGTCGCAGTGGCAACGGCAGTCGCAGTCACAGCCTCTGCCTCAGCCTGCCTCAGCCTCAGCCTCAGCCTGCCTCAGCCTCAGCCTGCCTCAGCCTCAGCCTGCCTCAGCCTCAGCCTCAGCCTGCTTCAGCCTCAGCCTTAGTCTGCCTTCAGCCTCGGCCTCAGCCTCAGCCTGCCTCAGCCTCAGCCTGCATCAGCCTCAGCCTCAGCCTGCCTCCTCAGCATCAGCCTGCCTCAGCCTCAGCCTCAGCCTGCCTCTGCCTCAGCCTCAGCCTGCTTCAGCCTCAGCCTCAGTCTGCCGTCGGCCTCGGCCTCAGCCTCAGCCTGCCTCAGCCTCAGCCTGCATCAGCCTCAGCCTCAGCCTCAGCCTGCCTCTGCCTCAGCCTGCCTCAGCCTCAGCCTCAGCCTCAGCAGCAGCCTGCCTCAGCCTCAGCCTCAGCTGCTCAGCCAGTCAGCCTCAGCCTGCCTCAGCCTCAGCCTGCATCAGCCTCAGCCTCAGCCTCAGCCTGCAGCCAGCCTGCCTCAGCCTCAGCCTCAGCCTGCCTCAGCCTCAGCCTCAGCCTGCTCAGCCTCAGCCTCAGTCTGCCTTCAGCCTCGGCCTCAGCCTCAGCCTGCCTCAGCCTCAGCCTCAGCCTCAGCCTCAGCCTGCCTCAGCAGCAGCCTCAGCCTGCCTCAGCCTCAGCCTCAGCCTCAGCCTGCTTCAGCCTCAGCCTCAGTCTGCCTTCAGCCTCGGCCTCAGCCTCAGCCTGCCTCAGCCTCAGCCTGCATCAGCCTCAGCCTCAGCCTCAGCCTCAGCCTGCCTCAGCCTCAGCCTCAGCCTGCCTCAGCCTCAGCCTCAGCCTGCTTCAGCCTCAGCCTCAGTCTGCCTTCAGCCTCGGCCTCAGCCTCAGCCTGCCTCAGCCTCAGCCTGCCTCAGCCTCAGCATCAACCTGCCTCAGCATTCAAAATGTGGCCCGGGAATGGAGTTCTGCGAACTCGAAGAACACGAAGTGGCCTACAGTTGGCTCCGGGCATTCAAAATCATGCCCAGGAATTGAGTTCTGGGAACTCGAAGACCACGACGGGGAATGGAGTTCTGGGAACTCGAAGAACACGGAGTGGCTTACAATTGGCTCCGGGCATTCAATATGTGGCCCGGGAATGGCGTTCTGGGAACTCGAAAAGCACGAATTGGCCTACAATTGGCTCCGGGCATTCAGAATGTGGCCCGGGAATGGAGTTCTGGGACCTCGAAGACCACGAAGTGTGTAACTGTTTCCTTAAAACGACTTCCGCGGATTCTCCCTGGATCCTGCCCGGACCCCCCTGGGGAGTCATGATGCTTTCTTTTGAGACCATTAAAAACCTATCAGTCTTCGCTGTTAGGTAAAAAGAGCTTCGTGGTGTTCGTTTTGAGGGGCGCTCAAAACGAACAGTGCGCGGCCTCTCGCGGGGTCTTCCTAGGCCTCTCTCGGGGCTCTCTTCGAAGTTCCTGAGATCTTCTTGGGCTCCTTTCGGGGGCTCCTCGCGGTTTCAGGGCTGTCTCGGGAGGGGCCTCGAGGGCGCCAGGACGGAACAAAACAGAGCTTCCAGGTGTTCGTTTCGAGGGGCGCTCAAAACGAACAATGCCCAGCCCGTGGTGGGGCCTTCCCAAGCCTCTCTCGGGCTCCCTTCGAAGCGTCTGAGATCTTCTTGGGCTCCTTTGGGAAGGTCCTCCCGGCTTCAAGGCCGTCTTGGTAGGGGCCTCGAGGGCGCCAGGACGGAACCAAAATGAGCTTCGAGGTGTTCGTTTTGAGGGGCGCTCAAAACGAACAGTGCGTGGCCTCTGGCGGGGTCTTCCTAGGCCTCTCTCGGAGCTCTCTTCGAAGTTCCTGAGATTTTCTTGGGCTCCTTTGGGTGGCTCCTCGCGGCTCCAAGGCCCTCTCGGTAGGGGCCTCCGGGGCGCCAGGATGAGGGGCGCTCAAAACGAACAGAGCGCGGCCTCTCGCGGGGCCTTCCTAGGCCTCTCTCGGGGCTCTCTTCGAAGTTCCTGAGATCTTCTTGGGCTCCTTTGGGAGGCTCCTCGCGGTTTCAGGGCCGTCTCGGGAGGGGCCTCGAGGGCGCCAGGACGGAACCAAAAAGAGCTTCCAGGTGTTCGTTTTGAGGGGCGCTCAAAAGGAACAGTACCCAGCCCCTGGTGGGGCCGCAAAGAACGCGAGGGCACGGGGAAAAGCACGCACTGGGAGCTCGCAGGGAACCTCGCCAGCAGGAACGTCGAAGTGGCTGGTTTTCCAGAGAAAATATGTTTTTGTTCCCTCCTCAGGCGCTCCTGCCGGCGCGTGTTAGACCGCTCTGGGGCCATTTTGGGCGCGCGGGGGAGGCTGCTGAGCTTGCTGCTGAGCTTGCAGGGCGCCTCCGGAAGCATCTCGGAGCGATAGAAGAAATCCCAAGAGAGCCCAGAGGAGGCCGTGGAGGGCCGAAAGAAGGCCCCGAGGCGCCAGAAGGGCCGGACAGGGGGCCCGAGGCAGCCGAAAAGAACGCGAGGGCGCGGGGAGAAGCACGCACTGGGAGCTGGCAGGGAACCTCGTCAGCAGGAACATGAAAGTGGCTCGTTTTCCCGAGGAGATGCGTCTTTTTCCCCTCCTCAGACGCTCCTGCCGGCGCGTGTTGGAGTGTCTTGGGCCATCGTGGGCGCGGGGGAGGCTGCTGAGCTTCCAGGGCGCCTCCGGGGAGGCATCTCGGAGCGTCTCGGAGCGGCCTGGCGCAGCCTCGGAGCCGCGCTGGAGTCGACCAGAGCTTGCTGGGGCGCCCGGGGAGGGCTCCGGAGTGGCCGTTCCGCTGCCACTGCTCTACACTTTGGCGAGCAGTGAACGCTGCATTGTAGTAGAGATAACGTTGGGCTCCAGCTTCGCCTCCCACATCTCGCTCAGCAGCACAAGAGCCCGCTGCCACTGCCCGCCTTTCTCGCACGCGCTGATCCCAGCGTTGCAGCTGATGACGTCGGGCTCCAGCTTCGCCTCCCACATCTCGCTCAGCAGCGCAAGCGCCCGCTGCCACTGCTCGCCTTTCTCGCACGCGCTGATCCCAGCGTTGTAGCTGATGACGTTGGGCTCCAGCTTCGCCTCCCACATCTCGCTCAGCAGCGCAAGCGCCCGCTGCCACTGCCCGAGCTTCTCGCACGCGCTGATCCCAGCGTTGTAGCTGATGACGTCGGGCTCTAGCTTCGCCTCCCATATCTCGCTCAGCAGCGCAAGCGCCCGCTGCCACTGCTCGCCGTTCTCGCACGCGCTGATCCCAGCGCTGTAGCTGATGACGTCGGGCTCCAGCCTCACCTCCCACATCTCGCTCAGCAACGCAAGCGCCCGCTGCCATTGCTCGCCTTTCTCGCACGCGCTGATCCCAGCGTTGTAGCTGATGACGTTGGGCTCCAGCTTCGCCTCCCACATCTCGCTCAGCAGCGCAAGAGCCCGCTGCCACTGCCCGCCCTTCTCGCACGCGCTGATCCCAGCGCTCTGGCTGATGACGTCGGGCTCAAGCTTCGCCTCCCGCATTTCGCTCAGCAGCGCAAGCGCCCGCTGCCACTGCTCGCCCTTCTCGCACGCGCTGATCCCAGCGCTGTAGCTGACTAGTGTGAACCCGTGGATTAAATCCACGGCGTGCTGAGCCTGGGACTCGCACACCGTAGGTAACCTGCTCGTCGACGTTGAACAGCTCTGGCGTCCCTTGGGCGGTAGGGGCGACCTTCGGAGGCACATGTGACGGTCACGTTTGAGGGCAATGTTGGGGGCTGTGTGGGGGCCACGTTTGGGGGCGCCTGGGGGCTACGCGTGGGGGTGACGTTCGGGGGCCACGCTTACTGGGGCGGTAGGGGCGACCATCGGAGGCTTTGTGTGGGGGCCGCCTTTGGGGGTCCCGTTTGGGGGCCACGTGGGGCCGACGTTTACAGGCCACGTCTGGGGGCCACCCCGGAAAGCAGTCGGGGAGCTCCGGGGGCACTGACCTGCTAATCGCGCCGGGCCTAGGCGCGATTAGCAAAACACAAGGGCTTTCAGGCACAGTCAGAGTGAGGGGGGCACGTTTGCGGGCCTCGGTTGGGGGCCGCGCAGGGAGGTCTTGGGGCCATCTTGGGGGTCTCGGGCCGTCTCGGAGGTCGCTTTGGGCTCTCTTGGGCGGCACCTTGGGCCCTTCTGGGGGCGTCTTGGGGCCATCTTGGGGGTCTCGGGCCGTTTCGGAGGTCGCTTTGGGCCCGGTCGGGCGGGGTCTGGGGCCTGGTTGGGGCTGACTTGGGAGTCACTTGAAGCTCTCCTGGGCCGTCTCAGGCCCTCTTGGGCCGTCTACGGGCCTGCTCGGGCCGTCTGGGGGCCCTCTTGGACCGCGCAGGGGCGATGTGGGAAGCCCCCTGGGGCCATCCTGGGCCGTTGTGGTCCCGAAGTGGCGGGATCAGGAAAACCTTCGAAACCTTCGGAAAACGGATAAGTTTAGCCCCTTGGCGCCGTCCAGGCGGTCCTCGGGGGCCGTCTCTGACGCCTTTGGGGGCCGTCAGGGAGCTTCGGTCGGGTCGGCTTCGGCCCTTGTGGGTGTCTGTGAGGCCGTCTTGGGGCGATCTGGGGGTCCTGGAGCCGTCGGCGAGCGATCCAGGGGCCTCCTGAAGCCGTCGAGGAGCGCCCCAGAGGCTCTCTGAGCGGCCCGCGAGCTCTCTGGGCGGCCCGGGGCGCTGCCACTGCTTGACCTTTTCGCGAGCGCTTCGCCCGGAATTGTAGTACAGCTGACGTCGGGATCCAGCTTCGCCTCCCACATCTCGCTCAGCAGCGCAAGAGCCCGCTGCCACTGCTCGCCCTTCTCGCACGCGCTGATCCCCGTGCTGTAACTGATGACGTCGGGCTCCAGCTTCGCCTCCCACATCTCGCTCAGCAGCACAAGCGCCCACTGCCACTGCCCGCCTTTCTCGCACGCGCTGATCCCAGCGCAGTAGCTGATGCCGTCGGGCTCCAGCTTCGCCTCCCACATCTCGCTCAGCAGCGCAAGCGCCCGCTGCCACTGCTCGCCTTTATTGCACGCGCTGGTCCCAGCGTTGTAGCAGATGACGTCGGGCTCCAGCCCCGCCTCCCACATCTCGCTCAGCAGCGCCAGCGCCCGCTGCCACTGCTCGCCCTTCTCGCACGCGCTGATCCCAGCGCTGTAGCTGACTAGGGCTGACCCGTGGACTAACGGCCACGCAAGATGTCCGAACTTGCACGTGGTGGCGGAAGTGCTGCCGAAAGGCTTTCGTCATGACGTTTGGCTCGGATTTCGCATTGTTGCCGCTGATGTCTTCTGCCGCAGGCTGATTACGTTGAATCGTTCTACTTGCCTGCTTACCTGCTTGCGTGTTCTCCTGCTCGCGTTGCTGCTGGCCTATTGGCCCGACAACTTGCTTGGCTGCTTGCCTGCTTGCATGCTGGCCAGATTTCCTAACTAATTGTTTGTTTGCTTGCTTCATTGTCTGCTCATCCGCTCTCTGACGCGAACTGCTGCTTGCCTTCGCTGGGCGCTGCTTGCTGCTACTTGCTGCTGCCTGCTGATTCTCGCTGCTGCTGCCGCCTGCTGATGACGTGCGCAGGCTTTCGCCTGCGGCGTCTGTGTGCTGCTGTTTGCTGCCTGGTGCTGGTTGTTACTGTGTGCCTGTTGCTGCTTGCTGCATGCTGCTTATTGGTGCTGGTGATGCGAATGCCTGCTGCTGATGCTGCTGCTGCTGCTGCTGCTGCTGCTGCTGCTGCTGCTGCTGCTTGCTTTTACTCATGTTGCATGCTGCTGATTGCAACTGCTGGCTGCTACTGCTGATGATTTCTGCTGCTCGCTGCTCATGGCTGGCGCTGCTGGCCTTGCGGCTGCTGGATCTGGGGGCCGCACTGGAGCTCCCGTGGGCCGCATTGGGGGCATTTTGGAGCTTTTTGTGGGGCAATCTGGTATATGGTCTTGACGTTGTGGCGTCTTCCGAGGCCGTCCGAGGATGTCCGAGGCCTCTCCCGAGGCTGCGGTGGCCCCCGTGGGAGCGCTCGGGGGCCGTCCTGGGGCTCTCTTGAGGCCGTCCGATGGCCATCCTGGAGGCCAACCTTGCCTGAGCCCTGTGGGGCTGGCTTGGAGGCGGCTTGGGCCCTCCTGGGGGGCTCCTGTGGGCCTCTGGGCCCTCGGTCCCTGTGTGGAGCCGTCTGTAAAGGGGCCCTGGGACACACAAATGACATGATTCCCCATATTTTCCCATATCTTCTACGTTTCTGCCTTCCCCCCCACTTCCCATATTTTCCCATTTTCTTCTGGGAGCGGACGATTCATTGTGTCTGTGTGTGTTGTCCCCTCCTGAGTCTTGGGCCCTCCTGGGGGGGCTCCTGTGGGCCTCCAGGCCCTCGGCCCCTGTGTGGGGCTGCCTGGAGCCGAGGAGTGGAGACAGGGGTGGGCGTGCGCACCAAGAGGAATGCCGATTTTCGCCCGTCGGGGGGCCGGGGGGCATCCACGGCGCCCTCGCAGAACCTCTCGGGGCCACCGTGGCGCCATGCGAGGGCGTCCTGGGGTCGGCGGTGGGCAGACCTCCCTTGAGTAAACCACCCTTCCACGAAAACGGCCTAGGACCGAAACCGACGGACCTGGACCCGCAAAGACGACGGCCGCGACGCCCTCTCGCGAACCGAAAACGGCCAATTCGCTAATCGACGTGTCTGGGAAGGAGGTATATAGGGTTAGGTCGGGCATGTCCCCCTACAGGGGGATTTTGGGCGAAAAATCAAAAATACCCCCAGGATGCTCCAAAAGTGTTCAAAAATAGTCAGGAAGTCGTCCCCGAACTATTTGTTCACTATGTTTTAGCATGCCCCCCGTAGAAGGACAAGCTCGACTTCAACACAGGGGCCAGGTCCGCCGGCTGGGACGCCTCCGGGGCCCGCTGCGGGCCCCTGCGAGGGCGTGCCGGTGCCCTTTGGGGCCGCCCTCGAGCACCTGGGGACCCCTCCGTGGGGGGGCTGCCTTGGGCCGTCGGAGCGCTCCTTTTGGGCCGCCCTGGCGCCCCTGGCCTGTCTCAGGGCGCCTGGGAGGGGGGCACCGAATCGGACGGCGTCCACGACCAGGAGCCCCCCCCCCCGCACCGGCGAGGTCATCACCGCCGACGATCCACGCCACCCGAAGGCGAGCAACACAAGTGCCTTCGCGCCAAAGGCACCACACATCAGACGGGGGGGAGGAGGTGGGAGGGAGGGGAGCAAGGCGGGGGAGCAAAGCGGCGGGGGGCCCCGCGGGGAATCCAGGGGGCGCCGTGCCGCGGTGGTTGGGGGCCTCCCGTGGCCCTCTCGGGGCCTGAGCCTCTGCGTGCCCCTCCGGGGTCCGCCGTGGGCAGCCCCGGGGCTCCCGGGGGCCGTCTGGGGCCGTCTTGGGGCTCTCTGGGGTGCCTCCGGGGCAAGCAATCATATGTTGGGGCGGTCGCTCTGCCGGCCCCAGACTCGAGTCCGCCAAGCATGTAAGTATACGTCTTCCGATCGGAGCGGGGCGATTTGTTGGCTCGTGGGGGCCCTTTGGGGGGCCTCAGGGCTCGTGGGGGCCCTTGGGGGGGCCTCAGGGGGCGGCTTGGGAGCGTCTGGGGCCGTCCTGGAGCCGTCCGCGGGGCGTGCCGCGTCGATCCGGGGCAGTCTTGGACCGTCCGCTGCACGTTCGGGGCCGCTCGGAAGGCTCGGCGGCGGCCCCGAGGGCCGCCCGGGGCGGCCCGAAGCGCCCGAGGGCCCGCTGGGAGCGGCCGGTAGGGGGCCGGTGAACGCTGCATTGTAGGATAGATGACGTCGGGCTCCAGGCTCGCCTCCCATATCGCGCTCAGCAGCGCCAGCGCCGGCTGCCACTGCCCGCCCTTCTCGCACGCGCTGATCCCAGCGCTGTAGCTGATTAGGGCTGACCCGTGGACTCCGTCCACGACATCTTTCTGGAATGGTTCTCGGAGGAACGGCGCAGATTGTACCGAAAATCTACAAACACGGCGGCGGCTCGGGCGGCGGCAGCGAGACCGCGCCTTCGTGTCCGAGCTCTTGCAGCGCTCCAGCAGCTTGGCCCAGCGCACTGCTCGTTCACCCCCCTCCTATTGAGGACAGTTTCGAAGTCTCTCGGGGATGTGCGTCGAAGTCGAAGCCCATCTGAGGCGTCTCAGGAGCGCTCGGGGAAGGGCTCGGGAGGCCATCGGGGAAAGCCACCGAAAGCGCCGGGGAGGCTCGCAAGGATCTACAGGGAGGGCCCAAGAGAGCTTCAAGAAAATTTGAAATTCTGTAAAATCTTTAGAGAAACCGCTGTTGGGTCGGCCATCACCTCCGGGCGCGCCTTGATGGTGCGATCCAGTCGCATCACCGCCAACGGGAGGGTTTGTTCGCCATGTCCCATTCTGTTCGCCCAGAGGGTCTGTGGAGGCCTTCGGGCGAACAGAACGGGACAGGGCAAGGAATGGGGAAGACTTGTCCGAATCTCCTGGGCCCCCCAGGTGCTCGTCCGAAGAATGCGGAGAGGTCCCAGGGTCATATCAATTGGCTGCTGTCCCAGGGGTCCGGTCTGCTTGGCCCGAAGAGTTTGCCAAGGCCCCTGGGGGAACAGAATGGCACAGCATATCGGGCAAAGGGGGGCGGTAGCTGGCCTGTCAGACCCGGCGTTCGTCTTCTGCCCAAGCGGCGCGGGGCCCACGGGCCCCAGGGTTGGCGGCCCGCTGGGTTTCCTCTTGTTCGCCCACAGGGTTGGAGGAGGCCTCCAGGCGAACAGAATGGGGCAGGACAATGAATGTGGGAGACTTGTCGCAAGCTCCCAGCCCCCCCAAGTGTGCGCCCGAAGGGTGTGGGGCCGCGTTGGCTCCCTCAAAGGGCCGTCTTGGAGCCGTCTAGGCCCGTCTTGAGGGCGCCGTTTGCCCTGATGGGGCCGTCTTGGTTCGTCGTGGGCCCCTCATGGGCGCGTCCGTAGGCCGTCCTGGGCCCATCGGGGTCCTCGTGGGGCTGTCTTGGAGCCGTCTGGGACCGTGAGGGGGCCGCCTTGGAGTCGTCTTGGGCCCCTCCTGTGCGCCTCCTTGGGCCGTCCTGGGCCCAGCAGGGGCCGTGTTGGCACCCTCTTGGGGCTGTCTTGGAACCGTCTTGAGCCGTCGCAGCGCGCCTTGGGTTGTGCTGGGTCCGTCTTGGCCCGTCTTGGGGCCTTCCTGGGCGGTTCCTCGGACCCTCCTGGGACTTTCTGGGGGGGAACGCAAAGGGTGTAACAATAAACAATGGACAATTAACGATTTTTGCCAACTGGGGCTCTCTTGCCATCTTGGCCCGTCTTGAGGCCCCAACCGGGCGCGCCCTTGGGCCGTCCTGGGCGCACCCTCCTGGGACCGTCTTGGAATCGTCTTGGGCCGTCTTGAGCGCGCCTTGGGCCGTCTGGGGCCGTGTTGGCACCCTCGCGGCGAGGAAGCTCGGAGGCGGGCTCGAGGCCTCTTTGGGGCCATTTTGGAAGCTGTTGGGGCCTCTGTTGGGGCCTCGTTTGGGCTCCTTGGGAGCCTCCTGGGGCCTCTTCGGGGGATTCTTGGCGGCCCCTTGGGGCCTCTTGGGGGCCTGTTTGGGCCTCCTGGCGCCCTCTTGGGGCGGAATGCTCGGATGTTCGGTCCGTGGTCCCCCTCTTGGCCCCCTCTTGGGCCTGTCTTCGGGCCCTCGTGGGCCGTCTTGAGCGTCTCTTGGGTCGTCTTGGGGCCCTCTTGGGCTGTCTTGGGGCGCTCTTGGAAACCTCTTGGGCGTTCTGGGGCGCTCTTGGAGGCCTCTTGGGCCGTCTTCGAGCGTCGGAAAGCGGAAAAAGCGAGAAGGCCAAAATCCTTCCAAAACCGTCGTAAAGCGGATGAGTTTGATGTCCCAAACCGTCCAAAACCTCCTGAGGCGGTCCCCTCGTCCGCCCCCGTGGCACCTCTTGGGGACCTCTTGTGGGCTCCTGGGGGCCTCTTGGGCCTCTCTGGGCTCGTCTATCGCGCCCCTTGGGCTGTCTTGGGGCCCCCGAGGGCCTTCTTGGGCGGTCCTCGGGCCGTCTTGGAGCCATCTTGGGCCGCTCTTCGGGCCATCTTGGGGTCCCGTTGGCCTGTCTTGGGCGCCTCTGGGGCCGTCCTGGGGCCGCCTTGGACCGTCTTGGGCCCCTCTTGGACAGTCTTGGGGTCCTCTTGGGGACCTCGTG